GGCGTCCCTTCATGATGGTGCTCTGCCACTATACCGGGGCATTTCCCCAGTCGGGTGTGTTCCTCCTGTCTTGTGAAGGCTTTTCCGCATTCACCCTCACCCTGGTCATCCTGTGCGTTAGCAGCTTTATCTTCGTCCTGACATGTAAGCTATGAAAATGCTGTTTATTCTTCCCATTTTGAAGATCGGAAACTGAGGCAGAAGAGAAAATGGGACACAAAAAATCTTTAGTTGCTCTGCGCCTTAAGCTCTAATCTGCTTAATTTTTGGACCTCTTTTTGTGGAATTTGAAAGTACGTGCGCATCGGAAGGAAATCCTGAATTCTCACTAAATGGTAGCACTGGTGTCCTAGCCCTGTACCAAAAGCAAACCTTTCCTGTTTAGGGTTTTCCTCTGTGGGGAATTCATAGTGGACGCTCTTTGGCTGGCTATTCAAAACATCTTTGGGATTTCCTCTTTGGAAAGTTTCCATCTTCCCATTTTGCAGTCTTGCAGGTCCAGTTCACTCTTGTAATTCGACTCCTGCCTTTTAAATTGCCTCTGAGACTAAATCTGTTGGTTTGTCTGGTTAGTGCTCTCATTTCAGAGCTAACCTTATCTGATGAGAAAGGTCCCTGGTTTCTAAATTGTGCCATGAGGGAGACATGAGCAAAGAAGAAAAATAAAAATTTATTCTGCACTGACTGCTCCCTTCTTGCTTTCCCACACGTTACTCAGAGTAAATGAGCTCTTGGTTTAATTCCAAAAAACACCAATTTCAGGACAAACAAGAGATTGCTCTTTCACCTGCCTTAGATTTCCTGAAGATGATGCCAGTGGAAGCAGGCTTTGAGAATTTTTTTCTCTCTCTAAATGAGAAGGGTGGGGCCTCCTTCTGGCTACACATGAAATTCTTCAAAGCAGAAAGTATTATATCAGATGCAGCAGCAGAACAAGTCCCATGTGATCAGAAAGCTGATCAACGGGATGCCTGCTTAATTGGGATGCTTACCAGAGATGAGATTTGGAACAGCGTACTTAATAGCTCCAAACAATAGCTGAATGCTTAGACATTTTAAAGTGCATTTTCACCACAGAAGCTACCCTGTAAAAAAAGAAAAAGCAAAACAACAGCAATAAGAAAACCCCAAAACCAGCACTTGACATAACAGCTTTTCACCACACTTCCCGAAATGGCATTGAATTTATCTGTCAGATAAATTCACCGCCAGATCTTCTTGCACCACCACTGACATCCAGCAAGAGCTAATCTTCCTGTTGAACCAAGAGCCAGGACCCTGATGATGGCTTTTAATGAAGGTGCTGCTTGAAGAAGAACCGTGTCCCAGGTGGGCTGCCTGCTGCACGTGGCTCACAGAAGCCTGCTAGGTGTGAATTAACGGTTGCTAGCGTGAGCTTATTTCTCTGAAGTCTCTGGTTGCTCTCTGATGTTGCTGCTAACCATCCGTGCAAAGCTGAGAATCACATGAATGTTTTGCGCCCATGATGCGGTTTTAGAGAGACTGCTTCGTACAGCACTTTAAAACAAGGCAGGCAAGGACACAGAGCAGTGTATTTGCTCAGCATGGTGTATTTGTCTGGGGGAGACCTTGGAGAAACTATGTAGGTGCCAAATAGGAAGACTCTAGTAAAGTTTTGACTTTTGAAAGTCCAAATTCACCTTGGCTGCTCGCTTTAGTTGAGCTGTGCTGGAAGCTCTCTGGGCTGGTTTAGCACTTCTGACTCTGCAAGACTGCATAAAAGTCAGGTTGAAGGTGGACAGAGCCGGGCTCTGGCATTGGTACAGAGAGCCATTTTGGTCAATGCTGTGTCTGTTTTCTCAGATCTGGTAACTGAGTCATGTGTGAGCCAAAGCAAGGCCAACCTTGTGTGCTCCAGTGCTGCACCCTGGGCCTGATCCATACCCTCTCCATTCTGCTTTATCCCTTTGCAGCAGTGCAAGACAGGCTTCTGGAACTGGCCATGGAGGTGCTTCAGCACCGGCTCCGAATTGAGCTGATGGAGCAGGGCAGTGGCTTGCATGGTGCTGCCCTGTCAGCTGTGTCTGAACAGGCGGTTAGATGTAGCGCGGCAGTTGACACACCTGCCTCCGCTCCTGCCCTGCTGCTGCCTCTGGGATGTTGTTTCCCCTCTCTGAGCTCTCTTTGTTTTCAGGCGCTTCATCTTTTCTTCCTGTCAAGCTCTTTGTAGCCAGGACTACCTTGACAGCTCAGAATCACTCCTACCCCTGAAGACAACACAGACTTTAACCCAGACCTGTGTCCCCTCCTGGGGCAGCGGGCCGTTGCTGCTGCCCCTTGGTGCTGATGAAGGGGTAGAGCAGAGGGTGACCAGCTTGCTTGGCCAGTGATGCTTGGAACAAGTGCTGGAGCAGATTTCAACAGGTGCTTTGGGCATGCATTTGTTCCATGCAGCAAAAACCAGATCTGTATCTCAGCCTCTAGTCAAAGGCGCACTAGGAATGAATAAACACACCTACCCTGGCCCACCCGGGAAGCGGCATCTGCCAAGAGACAGTGCTGTGGGGTATTAACACCCGACTTTGACGCTACAGCAGCCCACAAGTGAAATATCCTTTGAGCTAGGAACATGTCTTTGTGGTCAGACTGGGGAAACGAGCATGTGTGGTGGTAGGTAGCTGGATACTTTGTCCGGTTGGTTTCAGTCCAGTGTGCTCAGACTTAATGTTAGAGGGATGCTTTTACAGCCAGCCCCATGCAGTTGTATTGGAGGGGAACACAGGTTTTTGCTTTTTCTGCACAGCATCAGTTGTGTTTCCAATATTGGGTCTTTCAGCCTTGTCAGTACAAGATCTTTATCTTCTACATTTCTATCACCAGACTGTAATAAAAACTGATGCTGTTTTGTGTGTGCTTTCTGTGTGTAGCTACTCAGCAGCGACCTGTCTCCCCTCCTTCAGGCCATCAACACCTCTGTATTTGTACTGGGTCTCTCATTCTCAGGCTTTCCCTTTTTAGGGGCTGAGGTAACTCAGAATCAACACTTCCCAGCTGAGACAGAA